CATATTTTTATCAAATCCTGTATTGTAACATTGCCATTTTTTCCCTATTTTAACTCATCCTGCACAGTATGAAGTTGCCCTTTGGAGTCCAGGTTACACCACATTACTAAATTAGAAAGCGTATTCATCTCCCCACAGACTTCGACAAGCTGATTATTATCACTGAAAAATTTCATCTCCTTGTTTTAATTTTTATTTTTAAAAGGCAGTCATGTGGAACAGTTTTTCACGTTTAGTTGTTATTTGCGTTTCTTGTTCTGTAAATTTCCTGTTTATAGTCTCTAGTCACTGGGGACAGATACCACCTAATGCAGCAGAGAAGGAGCTTATTTAAGGAGTATTGCTAGGCAAAATGTTACCAACTTCTGATGAAGGATACGCAGAAGTTACTTTTATCATTCTGTCAGCCTTTTATATTGAAATTTTTCAAAATGAAATGTGAAGAGGAAGATGGTAGTGAGGTGGCAGAGGCCCACAAGGGTTCAGAAAGTGACTGTGGCCCATCCTGGATCTCTCACTTCTCAGACCATCCTCCCAGCTCTGAGGACAACTGACACCACAATCTGGAAATTCCCAACCAACTTGGATGAGTTCCCCTCGTCCAGCTCAAGAGGATGGGTGAGCCGGGCTCAGCCCTCCTGTAGAGTAATTTTCACCTCAATAGAGGTCAACTACCACATTTCAGGTAAAGCAGGAAAGGATATTGACTTCCATCTTGCCTCACCAGGAAGAAAAACCTGTTTTTGAACAGAGAAAATCAGGTGGAGTACACAGAGTAAACACTGAGGTTGGTACCTATACATTCAGCACCATTTCTGAAAGGTGAGTCTCTGGATTAATTTGGGTAGTTAACCATAATAATTAACTCCAACGACAAATGTAGACAGTGTGTTGCAAAGCAGAGACATCATTCTGCCGACAGTGGTCCATATAGTCAAGGCTATGGTCATGGTACAGTTGTGAGAGCTGGACCACAAAGAAGGAGAGCACCGAAGAACTGATGCCTTCGAACTGTGGTGCTGGAGAAGACTCCTGAGAGCCCCTTGGACAGCAGCTCCTTGTCAAACCAGTCAATCTTAAGGGAGATCAACCCTGAATGTTCACTGGAAGGACTGATGCTGAAGCTGAAGCTCCAGTATTTTGGTCATCTGATGCAAACAGATGACTCATTGGAAAACTCTCTGATGCTGGGAAAGATCAAGGGCAGAAGGAGAAGAGGGCATCAGAGGATGAGATGGCTGGATGGCATCACCAAGGCAATGAACATGAAGTTGGGCAAACTCTGGGAGATGGTGAAGGACAGGGAAGCCTGGCGTGTTGCAGTCCATGGGGTGCAACAACCACCCTAATAACATCGCGGGGAAAGACCAAGGAGGGGATTTATTGCAAGCACAGATGAGTTGTACATGAAACCAAAAGACATCCTGGAACCATCACCAGCATCAAATTAGGGTTAAGTAAATATAGTCATATCCATATTCTGCTTACAGCATTCAAAGCTCGTGGTAGAAATATGTTGATGGTTTAGTTGTTAAGTCATATCCAACTCTTTGCAACCCCATGGATTATAGCCACCAGGCTCTTCTGACCATGGAATTTCTCAGGCAAGAATTCTGGAGTGGGTTGCCATTTCCTACTCTATATCTCATTCTTTTTAATAGCTGAGTAACATTCCATTGTGTGTATGCACTATGTACCTAGTTGCTCAGTCGTGTTCAACTCTGTGAACCCCACGGACTGCAGCCCGCCAGGCTCCGTTGTCCATGGGGGTTCTCCAGGCAAGAATACTGGAGTGGGTTGCCATGCCCTCCTGCAGGGGATCGTCCCAACCCAGGGATCGAATCCAGGTCTCCCACATTGCAGGCGGATGGATTCTTTACCATCTGAGCCACCAGGGAAGCCCACATATGTACTATCTCTTCTTTATCCATTCATCTGTTGATGGACATTTAGGTTGCTTCTTTGTCTTAGCTACTGTAAATAACACTGCAGCAATTAATTATCTTACTTGCTCCATATAAACATACATATAAATAATGCTATTTACTTTTGGGCACTGCTTAATTTTGTATACAATGGAATCACTGTATATATTTGGGGGGAACTTGCTGGATTCTATTCACTAACACTTTTTTTGTGATTCATCCATGTTCATTTTTATAATGACATTTGGACAATTCTTTCATTTTCAACCTGTATAGCATTCCATTGTCCGAATATATCTTTTTTATCCAGCTTTAGGTTGTTTCCAGTTGTTTGCCGTTAGAAACAGTGTTGCAGTAAACAGTTTTTTTACACCTATTGCAGTGTGTGCGCGAGAGTTTCTCTATGTTGGTAGTAGAAATGCTGGGTCATAGGACATGTGCATATTTAATTTTACTACATAATACTCTAGTTTTCCAAAGCTGTTTTATCAGTTTATGCTCTCACCAGCAATGTAATGATTTCTCTTTAGCGTATGTTTTTCCCAACACTCGACATATCCAGATTTTTAAAGCTTGTGTCAATCTGATGGTATGATGGGTTTTAATTTGCATTATGTATATACATACTCCATTAATTTATTATATATAATACTGCATTGGTTTATAGTGTGTGATATATTCTAGATACAAATCCTTTGTTTTAGGTATGGCAAATATATTCAAATCTGTGACTTGACTTCTTACTTTTTTATGGAGTCTAATTTTATTGTAGTTCTAAATCATGAGATTAATCAGTCTTTAGCTATATGCATGTAATTTGTGACTTCTATGTTGAGGCCATAAAAATGTTTTTTTTTTCCTGTGTTTAAAATTTTTGTTTGGCATTTAGCTCTTTTTCTGATGGAACTCACAGTTGTGCATAGTGTGAGGTGGTGGTTGTTGTTGAGTCATTATGTCACGTGTGACTCTTCGACACCAGCCAGGCTCCTCTGTCCATGGAATTCTCCAGGCATGAATACTGGAGTGGGTTGCCATTTCCTTCTCCAGGGGATCTTCCCAACCCAGAAATCCAACCCACATCTCCTGCGTTGGCAGGCGGACTCTTTACCACTGAGCCATCAGGGAAGCCCATAGTGTGAGGGAGGGACTTATTTTTCCACCACATACTGATAGCCATTTGTCTCAGCACCGTATTTTTTCAAAAGCCCTTCTTTTTACCATTGATCTGAAATGCCTTGTGTATCAAGTTTCCGAGTATTCACAAGTTTGTTTCTGGGCTCTATTCTGTTCGTTGGTCTTGATCCATCCCGGGTCATTTCCATTCTGTTTTAATTATAAATCTCTCACCTTATCATCCTTCAGGAGCATCTTTATCTTTCTCCCTCCATTAACCTTCTTCCATATTTTAGGATCAACTTGTCAAGTGTCATGAAAACCTATTAAAATTTTTTAAAATAATTACAGTAAATCTATATGTCAGGTTGGGGAAAAATTATGTCTTTAGGATATTTAATCTTCCTATCCATAACTTTACTCTCTCGTTTTTTGTCATTAATTTATTTCAATAAAACATTATAATTTTTCCATTAAGAGTTTGACATCTTTTGTTAGCTTTATATTGGCATGTGCATTTAAACACTATTTGAAAATATATAGCATATCTATTTTATATATATTTAAGTGCTATGTCTGTTGCTATCATAAATCGCTCTTCTGTCCATGGGATTCTCCAGACTATATACTGGAGTGCATTGCTGTGCCCTTCTCCGGGGAGCTTCCTGACTCAGGGATAGAACCCATGTCTCTTAAGTCTCTTGCATTGGCAGGTAGGTTCTTTACCACTAGTGCCACCTGGGAAGCCCATTTACATATATATTTAAGTACTATGTCTCTTACTATTATAAATTATATATTTTTAATTTACTTTGTTACCAGTACAAAGAAATGCATTTTTATGGGGTTTTTATGTTCAGCAAATTTATCATTAGGATTAATAAGAGAATTTATCTTTTATATCTTATTGACATTTCTATATAATCTATATATAGCATCAAAGTAATACAATTTTGTTTCTTCTCTTCAAATATTTATTCTTTTTACTTTTTTTCATTGTCTTGATTTGCTGCTGGGACCTCTAGTATAACATCACTCAAAAGGGGCAGTGGGCATCTTTTTTTATTTTTTTTAAGTATTTACTTATTTGGCTGCTCTGGTACTTAGTCGCAGCATGTGAGCCTTTAGCCGAGGCATACAAAGTCTCACCTGTGGTGCTGAGAGCACAGACTCTTAGCCGCTGGACCACCAGGGAAGTTCCATGGTGGAACTTCAGGAAAGATCCCTATTTCTGATTTTACCTGTAAAATACCTATACTATCTTTCAACCAATAAGTGCATGTGTCTGCTTATGTATATTAAGAAAACCTTTCCAAGTAAATTTGCCTTTTTCCCCAGCTATGAGTTTTTTATGATAAATTCACTAAGTATTGAAAATTAATTGAATGCTTACTGTGAATCTTTTGAGATAATATAAATCTCCTTCAGTCTGTAATAAACCACATTAATAAATTTTACTTTTATTGTGAAATATAAGATTTCTTTAAAGTGAGCATAATACATGTGCATTTAACAAAAAATTACAAAGTAAAATCTGTTGTAACTACTATCCGTGTCAAAAAATAAAACATTACTACCACTCCATAAGCGCCTATGCCATCTTCTAGTTGAATATTAAATATTCAGTCTATGTTCTTTTTGAGGAAGCCCAAAAAATATATTGTACATTTTAAATTACCAAAAAGTTTGTAACTTTACCCTTCAGGGTAAAAAGTCCATCAAATACTTTCACATTGTTTACTCTTTCTACTCTTAGGTTATTGTTGTGTTTTATTTTTCTAACCACTTTAGCAACCATTACTATTTTATATTTAGGTTACAAAATTGATACATTTCCATAATTCTCCCTTTTCGCTCACATTTTAGGCCTTTCCTCTGCCCCAAATGTATCACTTAGAATCTTAGTGAGGATCTGACAGGTGCTGCAATCTTAGTTATCTAATAATGTTTATCATGCGGTCATTTTTTTAAAAGATTTTTATTGAATATACAATTTTAGGTAGGAAGTTGTTTCATCACATTCATGATGACTTTCTGCTATGCTCTGGATCCCTCTGATATTGAAAAGTCAGTTATTGGTCCTTTGAGAAGCTGAACACAGTGTTTTACCATTGTTTTAATTAGTGAAATAAAAATATAGTAAAACCAGGCACAACCAAGTTTCTAACAGATATAGGAGATAACATAAATTTTATATGCAAAATGCCTCATGCACAATTTCCATAATTCTAAAAATTAACACATTTCCATAATTCTAAAAATTATCTTTTCAAAATTTTCCCAAAATTGTAACCAAAGTTACAAAATCGGAGGCTTACTTTAACATGCCTAAGTATCTTATTACTCAGTTTTGTATGCAGAAGACACCCAGATGTTGATGTTAAATCTGAAATTCTATCTTCCCCAACCTCTAAGATGCCAGCACCTCCACTACAGGCACCCGCCTAGGCAGGTCAAACATGGACACGTAGCACCCAAGGTATAATTTGTGGTAACATGAATACGACTTCTGATTATGTGCATAAAGCATAAAAGCATATTGGTATTAAAGAGCAAGGAAAGAGAATTTGGAATTAAGACCAAAAGAAGAATCTTCAAATCTGAAAAAAAAAAGAGAAAAGGAATAATAATAAATACATTTATTTTAGATCACAGACAGCATGAGCAAACTTATCTTTTTTATCTAACTTATCTAACTAATCTAACTTATCTAACTAATCTATCTCCTATATAAATCTCTGTTGATAAAAGTGCACGTGATTTTGCAAACCTTTTAGTTCACCTCATTGGTTCTCCTACAACGTTAGAGAAGAGAGTGCTGGTGTCAGAGTTGAGATCCTAACCCCAACACTGAGTAACTGGATGACGCTGGGCAGGTCAGCCAAACTCTCCGATGCTCTGGCAAATTAACTTCCCTGTCCCTACAGTGCAACAGGAAATCTGAATAGGTTTTCCATGCCAGGATACACTGAGTAATAAAATTCCCCAGAAACGCTGGATTGTCTGCCTCTGGCCTCCACCTGAAGTGGCAGAGAAGTCCAATCCCTCCCTGTCTCACAGCTAGAGTCAGGTGCTAGAGCTGCAATACATCTGTTACAGCGTCTTTACACTGAGTTACGACAGTCTTGTTGCCACTTCTCTTCTCTGTTGGACTGGGAGCTTAGAGACCCAACTACAGTGCCCAGACACTTAGGAATGGTGTCTCTGCAGAACCATGTCACTCTTCTCTTCAGGCTATTTAGCAAAGAGCTGCCACGCAAAGGAAGGGACAGTTCACCTCTGAAGGCCCAGAGATGCCCAACGTGCAAATGGCAGAAGAGCAAACACTTGCGGGTGCTGTGGGTAACAGCTGCCTCTGCCTGCAGCCCCACACCTGCAGCTCCTCCGTCCTCCCTTTAGAGGGTGAGTGATGCTGGGCAAGTCACACCCAGGGCCATGGCCTTCCTCACCGCCCCCTCTCTCAGGGGCAAGGAATGGGACCCCGTGGGATTCTTCTCTGCCTGCTGAATTGTTACCCTGATTAATGTCTTCCAGACTGTGAGGCTTATCACATTAGAGCTGTCTGGAATGGTCCCCAGGATACTGATATTACAATAGGGTTTCTTAAGGTTAGAGACCCACCTTGATGGTGCTGCTTACAGGTTTCGATCTATGAAAAAGAAAAGAGAGAAAGAAAACAGTTAAGTTTGACTTCTGAAATGCTGCGTACTACAAAACTCTAAAATTGTTATAAACAAAGATGGCAGAAGAGCCAGTGAAGAAAAACCTAGACGTTTCCTACCAGCCTGAGATCCCAAGCAATCCAGAGAACTAGAGGAGGCCAGGGTTGGAGGGCCCGACCGTAGCAGGGCTTGCACACAAAGGCCCTGCCTCCCGGAGACGCTCCTCGGTCCTGGGTGTGCCCGAGGCGGTCAGGAGAGCCAAGGGGGCCACAGGGAGGAAGCCTCGGGAGTGCCTGTGCATGCGCTGATGCTCCCTGCTCTCACTGCAGGGAGACCACTGTCTCAGCGACCACGCTGTGCCCAGCTCTCTCAGAGGGCGCCACTGCGCAGAGCTTTACCAACATTCCCTGATAATCCCAGCATGCAGATGTTTTTATATCAAAGCAGCTTTATGCCACGGCCGTGCTCACATGCAACTGTCAGTGGTTAACCAAAGACTTGAAAACTTACCCCAGTTAACCTCCTGGGGTTGTGGGTAAGTGACGTGGGTCACTCGGCAGCTATACCGATCCTGGCTGTTGGGGGTGAACTCAGCGTGGGACAGCAGGTAGAAAGACCAGTCCTTGCTGAAAGACAGGTCTGACTGCTCTGATTTCATCTTCTCCCCATTCTTCAGCAATTCGATTTCAATCTGGGGCGGATGGAACCCAGACACGTAGCAGTTCAGGTAATTTGGCTTTCCATCCTCTGGTGGGTGTCTTGAGTACACTTGAATCTTTGGGGCACCTGAGGAGCGGCAGGGAAAGACAGATGAAACTGCAGAGTATTCCACTTGGGGGGACCTTGGTCTGAAGCTAGATCAGGCACCAAATGTTTACACTGGGTCCTCCATTTCTCCCAATTCCACTTTCCCTCAGGCCAAATGACCTGACATTTTTGCAGATGGCCACCTCCAGTTTGTGGGATAAACCATGACTTAGTATCTTTCCCACATAATTCCCCTACACATGCCTTTCAGGCTTTTTCTAGCAGATTTCTAGTAACATCTTTTTCTGTCAGTGGATATTGTGCTGTATCTTTTAACAATTGTGTGCGGAGGCTCTCAAGAAGGTTTCATGGCTCCTCAGCACATAGAATCGATACCACTCAAGAGTCTACATGATCTGGCCCCACTCTACTGATTGAGCTTCGTTCCTCACTTCATACACCCTCCAGGGTGGCCACATCAAAAAAAAACTCCCTTATTACACCCTCTTTCAGCCCCGTCAATTATTTCCCTTACATTTAGTTCTTTCTTCCTGGTCTCTTGTCTAGATGCACACCCACCAGACTTCTCAATAGGTGCCTAGTACAGTGCCCTGCACACTGCAGTTGCTTGGTAAATAAATGGCAGGTGTAATTATTGTTACCTCCTTGCTCAGGTTCCTAACAGCATCAACCCAAAGTATATTTCTACAGAACACAACCTCCTCATCACGTCTGGAGCTTATAGGACAAATCTCCCATCTGATTGTGTACCTGGTTTCATGAGCCAGACAACAAAGAAATAAAAGTGAAACACCCACAGGAGCTGGAAAACACCTGAGATGAGTGGGCTGGGCTGGGTGAGAACAACAGGGAAGAGTGGGGACTGTGGCAGATGGGAAAGATTATACTCTCTGTTAGGACCAAGTGGATTAATGCATGTGACAGTGGAATCTGCATTTTTAATGAGCATGGTTAAGTGACTTCCATAATCTGCCAGGTTGAGAATATTATATATTGCTACAGGACAGGTGGATTCCAAAATGAAATGCATGTTGAGACCCTCCATGAGAATGTGGAAGAAAATATTATAAGCTCTATATCTGTATTTTTCTAAGCGAACTGTTAATGCTACTAAATATACAGACTGATATAAATATATGTATATAATCCACTTAAATACAAATACACTCAGGGGACATGATTACAAAGGCCAGTTCACCCTCTATGTCCAGGAGGTACAGAGGAGGAGGAGTCCAGGCCACTGTGACTGGATGCATCTTTGCAGAATCATCCGATCATCAAAGAAAAGACCCCTAGTCCCACTAAGCGCTAGACTGGAAGTACTATGAAGCCCTGGTACTTTTCCATCAGTCAAAGTGAAGATAAAACAGAAACCTCTTTATTTGAGCTTCTAATAAGTGACAGTTAAATCACTCTGTCATGTCTGACTCCTTGCAACCCCATGGACTATAGAGTCCATGGAATTCTCCAGGCCAGAATACTGGACTGGGTAGCCTTTCTCTTCTCCAGGGGATCTTTCCAACCAGGGATCGAACCCAGGTCTCCCGCACTGCAGGCGGATCTAGTAACTAGACCATAATACACACTACAGTACTGAGAGCACAGGTTCATTCCACCTGGAATTCTCCCTTTGAGGGAGAGCTAGGCAGGTTTGTGCAGGGGGCAGGTTTGCAAGGGTATCACAATAGTAGTTTCCAGAAGAAGGAGATGCATCCAACAGGCCTGGGTTTGAATCGGGCTTCAGCCACTTACTGCTTCTGCATTATGGGGAGAGTTATTTTAGCTTCTGTAGTTTAACTGAAAACTTAATTTACGCCCAGACTGAAATAAAACCTACACAGGGAAAGAGCAGAAGATAGCCCCAGGAAAGTGAATCACAACTACATGTCTACATGTTTTTTGAATGTCTTCTAGAAATCCCCTGTGTATTTTCCAGGCATGTATTATCTTGGAAGTTTTCTAATTAACATACTTTTTAATGTCTGCTTGTTATTTTTTGGAAAGAATTCTATAGCCACAACAAAATACCAATAAGAGTGATAATACAGACATCACATGTTTTTCTTGGCAAATAAATTTTAAATTCCATTTTCAAACGAAAGAGAAATCTGATCTTCAGTGTATTTAGAAGGCATCTAAACACACTGTCCCTGACAACCTGGGCAAGTGTGTTGATTATTCATCCCTAGTTTTACAACCTTTCTAACTGATAAACCTTCACTTACTCAAAACTGAAAGTAGAGAGACACTTCATCTTGGAAAGAACCAGGCAAGGAGCCAAAGGAGGAAGCCCTTGGTGAACAAAGGCCACAGAGGCCCATGGCTGCCCAGCCTGCTCCCTAGAATCTCACCCCAGATGATTATGAAAAATGCACAGGTGACGCCTAACGGGCGCACCACCTGGCCAAAGGCTCTGGTCAGGCTCTACTGTCTGCCACTGATCCCCTGCGGGATTAACTTACTTCAACTTGTCAGCCTCCCTTTCCTCATTTGTGACATCCTGATGACAGGCTGTCTACGTTGGTCATAACTTTCCTTCCTTTATGACCAACGTAGACAGCATATTAAAAAGCAGAGACATTACTTTGTCCACAAAGGTCCGTCTAGTCAAGGCTATGGTTTTTCCAGTAGTCACGCATGGATGTGAGAGTTGGACCATAAAGAAAGCTGAGTGCTGAAGAATTGATGCTTTTGAATTGTGGTGCTGGAAAAGACCCTTCAGAGTCCCTTGGACTGCAAGGGGACCCAACCAGTCCATCCTAAAGGAGATCAGGCCTGGGTGTTCATTGGAAGGACTGATGTTGAAGCTTAAACTGCAATACTTTGGCCACCTGATGCGAACAGCTGACTCATTTGAAAAGACCCTGATGCTGGGAGGGATTGAGGGCGGCAGAAGGGGACGACAGAGGATGAGATGGTTGGATGGCATCACCGACTCAGTGGACCTGGGTTTGGGTAGACTCCGGGAGTAGGTGATGGACAGGGAGGCCTGGCCTGCTGCGGTTCATGGGGTCGCAAAGAGTAGGACACGACTGAGTGAACTGAACTGATGATAGGCGCCGTATTTACATCGCTGACCCCTTTCACAATTAAATGACACAGCACATAGCGCAGGACAAGCAGCTGTCACCGGGAACCTCTATGATTATTATTAAAAGCCAAGTGTAAGGAGAACAAGAGAATTAACGAGGCGAATCGGTTTGTTAAACCTCAAGGCATTCCACTAAAGTCACCGGAAAATTCCTCATTCTGGTTTGGCCCCTTGTTTGGGGAAAAGTACAGAGGGGCAGGTGAACCTGCCTGGCGCCTGCAGGAAGCTCCACGCCCTCAGGATGCCAGCTGGCCGACATACCCCGGCGGCGACTCCCCCTAAGCCCACGGGTTGTCTCCACCAGTTCGCAGACCCCAACCCTGCCCTCTGGGACCTGCCAGCCCGCACCCCACACCCCGCCCCCCCGCTCCAGAGATGCGCGGCGGGGGTGGGGGTGGGGGGGGAGCCAGAGCCCCGCGAACCAGAGGAAGAGAATCCCTCCCCCACCGCGCCCGGCCTGAACCACATCCGCACCCGGAAACTACGTCCCGACCCACGCGGTACCGTCCGGGCGTGCCAGGGGCTCCCTCCCCACATCCCCGGGAAGTTGGCGACCTGGGATCGCACCCCCTCCCCACTCCCCGCGCACCCCGCCGCTTCCACCGCCCGAGAGGAAGCCGGCTGCTCCTCCACCGAGCTGGGAAGGAAAACTTGGGAGCGGGACCGGGGTGGACAGAGTTAGTGCCCAGGGTGCCAAGCGGGTGTCACCGGGACAGGACGGGCTGGCGGAGGAGGAGAGAGAGGAGAGGACACTCACGCAGGATGGCGTCCAGTCCAGACAGCGACAGCAGCCCGAGAAGGGCCAAGGCCGCGAGGCGAGGCATCCCTGCAGCAGCTGCGCGGGCGGCGGAGTGAGCGGCCGCCTTCCGCGCTCGCCTTTATAGTCCGCACTCAGGCAGCCAATCGGAAGCCTGCCCGCCGGGCCGTCACCAGTCTCCGAGCGAACTAAGCCGGGGCAAGTTAGAAACAGGCTTCCTGGTTTTCAGTTTCATTTTCTAATAAGTCTCATGATGCTTAGGAAGGCAGGGTTGGGCTGGGTGCACTCGCTGCCTGTACATCGACGCCCTCTTATCTGGGGTGCGCGCCCAAGCTTGGAGCGCCAACCGCTCACCCTAGAACTTCAGTGTGGACGAACCCTCGCTTTTCGGAACAGCACCGAAAAGGCTAAAGGACTGACTTACCGTGCGTGCCACAGCCATTTAGGAGCCTAGCTAGCACCTGGTTTTCAGCTGGGAAAACTGAAGCATAGAACAGTTAAGGGTAAGGACTGAACGGTACTGGGCAGAATCAGAACTCGGTTCGCAATTCCAGCCCAGAAATACATTGCAAGTCTTCTGGATTCTCTGGGCAAGAAAAGTTTCCAGGAACCGCGAGGCCTCATGGGGCTAGCTCAGAGAACCATCTGGCATGAAGGAAGACCTGCTTGCTCCCTGAACATTTTCCAAAAAGGAAAGGCGTTTCGAAACGTCTGTGCCAAGAAATTCTAGCCTGTATCTTGCCGTTGTAATTTAAGTAATTTTCTTTGCTTTGGTGATTTGTGGAGAAATGACCCCTGATAGTAAACAGTCTCATAAAAGCAGTAGCTGCTTAGAGCATTAGAGTATCTACCGCCTGGAGGGACAATACCCCCTGCGACTTAGCACACTGGAATGGTGATTGGCGCGGACTAAGGTACTTGATGAACTGAAGGAATGAGTGTACAGACGAGCGGCTGGTTAAACGCATGAAGGAAGGAACTACTGAACTTGTGAGGGAATACGTGAATAAACCCTAGGATGTAGGAATTACCCCGTTATATTTTTAGGGATAGGAAAACCAAAGGCTGAGGTTACAGACTGGCCTGATTCTAATGTCATTCGCGCTTCAGACACTTGGAAGATAGAGGACTGGACAATTTTGGTGAGAATTTGGGTTGCATCTTCTGTGGGCTCAAACAAAGAAGCTACACCTATAGATTCTAAGAGGGTGTCAGTGTTACAAAGACTCGTTAAGAAAACCCATTCTCCCTGGATAACATAAAAAGGAGTTGACATTAACCTGGTGGCTGTGTCCAAGGATCATTTCTGGAGTGGAATGCCCAGAAGAGGAAGTGAACCTGGGGGCGGAGAGTGGCAGAGGTCTTGGAAATCACCCTGGTGTGCAGTTGAAGGGAGTTGGGTGGTGCTTCCCCAGAGAGCCCAAGAAATGTCAGCTGGATTCCTTTCCCCTATTTTTAGACCTTTCAGTAATCCCTGTTGTGGAGCTTGTGTCTACACGAAAGAAAGCAGGTTACTCTCCACAGACCTAATGAAGGGAAGTGTGCACCGAGGGAGCCCCAGGGAGCACCTAGTAAGTGTTCTGGAATGATTAAGAGCTGTGATTATTCGTGCTATTTACCTACTTCTTCTACCAGCTCTCTCTATAGCTCTCTTGAAATAAAAGAATAATTGTCAAACATAATGTCATGAGGAAAGACACTCCTTCCCCTCCCTTTTGTTTGTTTGTTGTTAACTCATTTAAGGCTATTAATGCTCTATGTAATCTAGTGTTGAACTGTTTTAGTGTCCTGGGAGTATAGAAAGTCAGAGAGCTCGTGGTCATCGCTATAGTACTTGTGTACTGTGTCATAGACAAATTGTAGTACTTAACAATTCTCACAAGGTAGAATCTAATCTATTCATTTAAAAAATTAATTTTGAAGGCTCTAAATAAGTGCAATGAAGACATAGAAAAATCTTTTTCTATTTTTTGTGTTTGGGGAATATCTGTATTTTTGTTAGATTTCCATCTATGACATGTTAGAATAGTGAGAGTAAAATAATATATAAAAGTGAAGTGAAAGTCACTCAGTCGTGTCCCACTCTTTGTGACCCCGTGGACTATCCAGTCCATGGAATTCTCCAGGCCAGAATACTGGAGTGGGTAGCCTTTCCCTTCTCCAGGGGATCTTCTCCCCCAGGGATCGAACCCAGGTCTCCTACATTGCAGGTGGTTTCTTTGCCAGTTTCTTTACATATAAGAACTGTGTTTTTAAAATGAAATTTCTGTTTGTGAGGTTGACAAACTTCTGGAAATCTACAAGCATAGCCTTTTAATTATCTTTATCTCATCAGTGGTATGAATGATGGAATTTTTTTTTTACTAATGACCTCCCTAATTTTTTTTTACACTAAATGTTTATGTATGTGTATGCTCTGTTGCTCAGTTGTGTTGACTTTTTCTAGCCCCTTAGACTATAGCCTGTCAGGCTCCTCTATCCATAGAATTTTCCAAGCAAGAATACTGGAGCTGACTGCCATTTCCTTCTCCAGGGAATCTTCCGAAACCAGGGATGGAACCTACTTCTCTTCTGTATCCTGCATTGGCAGGCTGATTCTTTGCCACCAGCACTATCTGGGAAGCCCATCAGTGTTTAGTCACAACAGTAAATATTTTCCAGAGTGTGGGAGAATAGGAACTTCATACCCTCCTGTTAGGAATATAAAATGATACAACTACTTTGGAAAAGTTTCACAGTTTTTTTTTTAAAGTTAAACATACACTGGCCAAATGACACAACTATTCCACTCTAGGTATTTACCCAGGAGAAAATGAAAGTATATGTCTATACAAGGACCTGTAGAAACCTGTTCAAAGCAGTTTTATTGATAACAACAAGAAACTAGAAATAATCAAAACCTCCATCAACAGGTGAAAGGATAAACATTGTAGTAGCAATACACTCAATGCAATGCTGTCAACAATAAACAAGGCATGAACTATTGGTACACATAATAACGTGGATGAAATAATTAGGCTGAAAAAAAGTGAGACAAAAAAGGATACAAGCTGTATGTATGCTTTTTATTTAAAACTCTAGAAATGGCATATTAATCTATGTAACAGAAGCAGATGGTTCGTTTTCCAGGAGGTAGAAGGAGCATCAGGATCTAAAGACACATTCTGGGGGTATCGGAGATGTCATTATCTTGAGGATGATGATGGTTTCTCAAGTACATACATACTGTAGAACTTATTAAATTGTTTAAGTGTAATTTATCATGTGTCTTTACCTCAATAAAGCTCCTTTAAAAAAAAATAACCTAAAAGGACTGGTACCTGTATCTTTGTTAAGCCAAAGAAGAATGAAGTCCTTGAACAGGAAAAAAAAAAAAAATAAGGATATTGAAGTGGAGAGAATAGAAATAGGTTGAAGCTCAGGTGAGTTGGGTTGCACCTTAAGAGATCTCAGTCAGCACTTCTCTGAGGCGGGCTGTCAAGCAGCCAGAAAACCCAGGCCGCCTGGAAGGAGAGGAACAAGCGCAGATAGGACATCCCTGCCCAGGCTCCTGCAGACGTTGTGTCCCTCATCAGAGTGTGGTTCATGCACCACAACATCAGCTCCACTTCTAGGAGCTCTTAGAATTGCAGACCCTTGGGGCCATCCTAGACCTAAGTCAGAGCCTGCATTTTAACAACCTCCCAGGTGATTCATCAACACATTAAATTTGGGAGGCTGCTGATCCAACTACATGACAATCCAGAAGGTAGGTCTTTCTTTCTTTTACAGATGAAGAGACAGTTTCAGAGAATTAAGGTGCTTGTCCGTGTTCACTCTGAGCTATGATTCAAGTGCTAGCCCATGTGATTTGAAAGGCCTCATAATATCCACTTGAAAACCACTTCTGAGAAAGTTCAGTTCAGTTCAGTCGCTCAGTCGTGTCTGACTCTGTGACCCCATGAACCACAGCACACTAGGCCTCCCTGTCCATCACCAACTCCTGGAGTTCACCCAAACCCACGTCCATTGAGTCGGTGATGCCATCCAACCATCTCGTCCTCTGTCATCCCCTTCTCCTCCTGCCCTCAGTCTTTCCCAGCATCAGGGTCTTTTCAAATGAGTCAGCTCTTCACATCAGGTGGCCAGAATATTGGAGTTTCAGCTTCAACATCAGTCCTTCCAATGAACACCCAGGACTTATCTGCTTTAGGATGGACTGGTTGGATCTCCCTGCAGTCCAAAGGGACTCTCAAGAGTCTTCTCCAACACCACAGTTCAAAAGCATCAAATCTTCGGCGCTCAGCTTCCTTTATAGTCCAACTCTCACATCCATACTTGACTACTGGAAAAAACATAGCCTTGACTAGATGGACCTTTGCTGACAAAGTAATGTCTCTGCTTTTTAATATGCTGTCTAGGTTGGTCATAACTTTCCTTCCAAGGAGTAAGCATCTTTTAATTTCATGGCTGCAGTCACCATCTGCAGTGATTTTGGAGCCCAAAAAAATAAAGTCTG